CAGGTAAAAATATTTTGTAACTTAAAATATACCCCAAATTTCATATCCCTCAAATTTCAATCAAAATAATTTTATAAAATTTTACGCGTCGAATGGATCAAGTCCATATAAAGCATCATATGTTAATTATAAATGGTTTCGGAGATATAAAAGATAAATTAATATATTTTATTAACTTAATTAAATCCTCATTTTGTTTAATAAAGTATCCTTAATACTCTCAGCACCGTAGACAACCAACCTCTCACACCCTTTTTAATTCCTTCGTTTCGGTCGAAAAGGGATGTCCTGAGCTTCAAACTCCTCCACTTTGCCTCTCTTCCCTCACATGACCCTAAATCCCCTCTCCCTATTCGTTTCACGGGGCAGGAGTTGCGACCCATGCAACAGTGCAAGGGCGTGAGCAACAGATCGATCGGTGCACAGGGAGACCGAAACTTATTGTAAAGAGTTTTGGGAACGAAATTAAACGGGTATGAATTCCTCTAAGTTGACATTTTAGACTTTAATTTCCTTCCTCTCACTTTTGTTTTAAGATTTGCCTCGTTGTACGTGCATTGTTCGTTTTCAGTAGCAGTCAGAGGTGCCAATCTTATGCACATCCGGGTTCTCGTAAGGGTTTTAGCATGAAGCAAAAAAAGATTTGAAGCGTTAAAAAGAGAGAAGATATTTGGCAGCGTAGGAGAAAGGTTGGTCGCCAAGAAAGCAGTTTAAGGTTTGTTTTGGCAAATCAATGATATTTTGAGCTAAGATGCCTAATGAACTAATATATTATGAATTATTAATTCGTTTAAGATTTCGCGTTGGTTACCTGAGGCGATGAGTTTGAGTTAAGCATGTGGAAGCTTATCGTACAGCGGCTCTGTCAATTTCAGATAAATAATCCCATGCTAATTTAAGAATAATTCAATTTACAGAAATCACTTGAATCTTAAAGTTTAGCATTATATTTTATAGGTTATTAAGCTCAGCATAAAAGTCACCTCAACCTCCAGCTAGCCATCGAAGTTTAAGATTTTAGCGTGGCAAATGAGTTGAGTAATTACATTCCTAAAGAATTCAATAATCTTCTTTATTTCAGAATGTATGTTGATTTATATGTATATTTTAGTTCAGTTAGATTTATATTGCAACAGATTCTTCATATTGTTGATTTATATGTATATTTTAGTTCAATAATTTTCTTTATTTAAGAATAATCCTTTATAGAAATCACTTGTTTAAAATTATATTTTATAGGTTATTAAGCTAAACATAAAAGTCACCTCAACCTCCAGCTAGCTATCGAAGATTAAGATTTTAGCATGGCAAATGAGTTGAGTAATTACATTCCCAAATTTCAAAAATTTTCTTTATTTCAGAATGTATGTTGATTTATATGCATATTTTCGTTCAGTTAGAATTATATTGCAACGGATTTTTCATATTGTTAAATTAGAAAAGATATGCATGATAAAAAAGATATACAAGATATGTATGAGACACGTGATTTGTACAATAGATATGATAGGCATGATTTTTATGAGACACGTGATTTGTACAATAGACATGATAGGCATGATAGGTAACAAATATGCATGATAAGTTAAATTAGAAAAAGATATGCATGATATAAAATATATGCATAAGAAAATATGCATGAGATAGATATATAAAAGAAATGAGAGATATATGATGAATAGTTGCACAGCAGAGTAGATATGCATATTAATAGATACATTAATAAGTCTCAGAATATGTATGTTATGAGGAATGAAATAGTTTATATATGAATGTTTATATGTGTATGTTCAGATGAGAATTTCAACCCTTAATGGTACAGGCAGGAGACGTCAGTGTACTTGCAAACGTAGGGTTTTTCTACCACTCTAGACAATCTTGATAGTTAGATCACTAACCGTTGTGACAAAGGGATAATATCGATCAAGAGCGAATAGACTAGAGATTACCTCCCCAAATAATTGTGATATCACATTGCTAACCATTGAGTCGAATGAATAATATCGGCCAGAGGTAGGTAAGGGTTTTTCCACCGTAGACAATTGCGCTGTGCAGATCGCAAACCACTGTGTCGAAGGGAGTCGACAGGAAATTATCAGCCAAGGGTGTATTAGATTTTGTAGACGGTGATCCTCACAAAAAAATATATGTAAAGTATAAAGTAAAAGTAAAGTTAAAATAAATGCTTATAAAATATTGAATATTTTCATTTAGAAAAAGTCATTGATGCATTCATTAGTATATATCAAATTGCTTATAAAAATATAAAAGACTAGCATATTATATAATTCCTGATAGAACAGCATGCATATTGAATTCTTTTCCTTGGGTTATTGTAGTTTAGAAATGGGATTACTCTTGAGTTTCTTTCGATAACTCATTATGTTGCTTTAATATCACTTTTTTAGGTTTTAAACATTTGAACAAGATGAGTAGAAGAGGAGCAAATATGTATAGAAGGCGAGAACAACAAACAAAAAATACAAAATGTTTACTTATTAATTTTTGTTGTTTTTTTAGTGGCTCTTTTATGTATTTGTTTGAATATTAATATGTTAGTCATAGAATTAGAATAAATGATATGTTTTCCACCGTCTGACTGTTCGTTTCCCTATTGGTTAATTCCAAGCCCCGGGCCACATCATGACAGGTGACACAATTGTCACGGAGAAAATTGTCGCCTTCAAAGTGAGCGTAGGGCTTAAGGAAGTACCATAAGCTTCCACTAACACCCACTGTCTGAGGCGCGAGAGTGGAAGACTGAGGGTTTCAGTGCAGAAATGGGGAGTAAGTTTCAGTTGTCCTCGTATGCAGTGTTCCCGTCGTTGGCTTCCCACTTGCTCAAATCGTGATTGAGGGAGACGGCCGAGAGTTATGAATGATAGAGGGAAGATACGATAGAGACGGTGCAAGTTTTCGGTTGAATTTGTGTGTTTGTCAAGACTCAGAAAACAAAGTGGAGAGGATAATTCGTGAAGCTTTTTTGTGCAATAGATAGAGCACCAAGCACTGTAAAAGGAAGGCTTTGTGTGTTTCGAGGCGATGGGGATGGAAGCGATGGGCGTGATTTCTCCCTTCTGCCATGAGGGCATCATTCGTCAGTTTTTTTTTCATAAATAAGGGCGAGGACCATGTTAAGACAAAACACCCTTCAATAGGTAGGAGCAGTTGAAATTTTAAGATTAACTAATTTTTCTTTTTTATAGTCAACAATGCCACATTGATTCTAGTTCATTTCTTTTATTTGGCTATCTTTGTTATGGAATTTGTGAAATATCCTCTGGAATCCTTTTCAAGGGTTTATGTAGAATCTTACTAGGGTGTGCTTCAAGAATGGAGATTCAAATGTTTACACGGTTGTGCTTTCATTATTTTGCTACAAGTCCCTAGATCATTGTTAAACACTAATGTCTTTCTCCTACTTTTGTTTTGCTTCTTCTTTTGATTCTTCGACTCGCAGTTGTTTCCATGGGTCTCTTACATAGCATCCTAGATGGAATACTCTACATCACCCAAATTTTTAGATGTTTTTGGAGAGTTGTGGTGAAATTTACAATCTATATAATGGGCTCAATTGGCTATCAAAATTAGTCACTTTAATGTGGTTAGGGTTTTACATGATTCAGATACTTCTTTCTAATATTTATGTTAGTGTTTCATATTTGGCAGAACTCCCTCTTCTTTTATTGGCCTTTTGAAATGAAAAATTACTATTGCCTCAACTGACTTACACAGATATGTTCTTTCATTTTGACTTTTATGTTAGCCTTGTATGAAGTCACCTCATTGATCTTCTTGTATCTTTTGAGCTCTCTACTCAACTTTTGTGTCCTTTGGATTATTTCTTTTTGAGCTTTTTCTATTTTAATTTTTAAATTGTTATTGCAAAATGTCTGTCTTCATTCATTTCTTTCTTTTGTCTACAAAATCTTTTTTTATAATTTTCTTTTTGTATCCTTTTATTTTATATAAATGAATATATAGGGTAAGGCCATCATTATTCGCAAGTTCCTTTAACCTATCGATATCATCGAACTTGTATGCTTGAAATTTACAAAATTGCCCCACCGGTATGCTCTTTATTTCAAGATTATTAAGAAAAGTAGAAAATGATTCCACCTTAACTATTATTTTTAGCTTTTCATTTCCACTTATAAGTCAAAAGGCTATTAAGAGGTTGACTAAAGAGACTACAAGCAAATCAATTGAAGAAGATAGAAGCCCAAGATTCCCTTCACTTCTACATAGGGAAAGGATGGCATGTTTCCCTACCTTTGCGCTAACATTTGGCACAATTACTTTAAATAAAATCATGTTGGTTTGGTCAACCTGAACTTTATTCCCACATGGAGAACTTGAAGATCAAAGAGGTTGCTGACTTGAAGATTGAGGAAGTGGTTGGCCAAGTGAAGCCATACATTTGAATACTTCAGAGTGGCAAGACGCCACTAACAATAAGTATGTTCCTATTCTGCTATTTATGCCCAAGTCAGTCCCTCAGCATGATGATAATACATACCACGTCAGGAGTTCCAGGCAAAGCATCTCCATATGCAATTCAAAAATTTGTGAAAAAAAAAAATGTTAACCATTAATGCTTTTTGATATGCTTTGGAGCTCACTGGCCACAAATAAAACAATGAAGTTAAGAGATCAGTGAGCTTACCATGCAAATTTGATTCTTCACTGCAGCCAAAATGCCTGCTAATAGTGAATAGGGCATGCGCTAGGTTCTTAATAGGGAAAAACAACTACATTAACTCGGTAAAATTGGGAATTTTCATTTTTTTCTTTTATAATGCATGATTCTAATATTATAGTTGTGCATTATAGACATGTAACAAATCCTAATAGTGATCCTGAAGCTCAGAAAGGCTTTGCTTTGCACGCTTAACAAAAACTGAATATGGATATTAATTTAGCAGAAATACTACACAAAAGTTTTAAATGCTAAATTGAAATGAAGTTATGCAATGATCAATGACCAAGGATTTACTCACCCGAATGTATTCAATGAACCTTTGAGAATGAAGTAAGAAACAAATCACAGATGTATCTGGCTGCAGAAAAGAAAAAAAAAAGGGACCAGAAATTCTTAATTTGCAACTTTGATAATGATTTTTTAGACCACAAAAAAACAAAGAAAAGTTTTACAGCATATGCATCATAGGCAAACAGGTTAAGATTGAAAAGATGAATGATAGTGCACAGACAAATTAATTAAAAATGTCATTTCTTTAGCAGTTTTATTTTATGGGAAAGTTCTCTTCCCACTCCAATAACGAAAGACAAGAATAGAAAATTCAGCAGCTATCAGGTTTTTAAGAGGCTCTTTTGAGCATAAATAGAACCAAGATGAATTCCTTGGGCAAAATATATTCCGAATCAAAATATGCATTAGCTTTCAAAATCAACTTTCATTATGTTTCTAACACAAATTGAGGCAAGCAAGATAGTCTTCAAAAATAAAATAAACATAAGTATATGTCATGAGCCACACCTAGGTTTTTGAACGTAAAGGAAAGAAATGGTACAGGAAAATAACATGATCAAAATACTGCGGCATCTGCTAAATCAACATATATATGAAACAAACTTTTACAATATTGTCCAATTAATCTCAAAATAAGCCCAAGAACACAGAACTGTCATCTAGAAAACTGCTAAGAGGGAAGGATGACATCTTAATAAATCAGTTCATCCCACTACTCTTGTCAAAAAGAGAGTGAAAATTAAAGGAAAAAAACATATTAAGAACAGTAATATCTAGCAACAAAATTTGTTTCTCGGTGATAGTAAGAAATTAGAAAGTATATTTTTGTAAATCATGATGATTCTTTATAAACATTACGTGGTCATCAGAATATTAGTAGAGGAGCAAAGCTGATGCTATCAAATGAGTTCTTAAAACATTATCTTTCTATAATCACAAAATGGACTATTAGTTACACACTAAACTCTGGTCCCACATTATCATGGATAATTCCAATATAAAAGGAAATCTGAGTGGTGCAGACTCCTAACTGTCGTATAGCCCATGTGAACATCCGGCACTATTCTCTTTTCAATATGTGTAAAAGGAAATATAATAGCATCTAGTTCAGTAAAATATCCTAAGGAAGTAGCAAGTGCCTAAATGATCAAAATAGCTTAGAATGTGTACAGAATAGAAGGTCACACTTAACCCAGACAGTCAGGCTAAAGAGGTCAGGCATAAGGTGTGAAACAAACTTTTCATTTTGAAATACTAAACTAAAGAATTAGATTCAAATATGAACTCCCCATGTAGAAATAAGTACAACACTCCGATTTAGGGTTCCAAAGTTGGTCAAATGATGAATTTTACACTATTCCAAGCACTTCATAGCATACATATGAGATCAAAAATACACAAAAAAATCAAGCAGAACTGTTAGTAATTGCATATCCACGAATTTTAGTACTTCTATTTGTATACCCAAAAAATGCAAATATGCAATGAAGCTAAGAAGACCAGGCAAACCCGCAAAGCCCAAAAGTCACTCAACCAGCTTAGAATGTCCGGGCACAAAAAGCGCACGCTCAATCATGAGAGCACTTGACAAGCTCAGAGGCATCCACCAAGTTCTAAAGGCACTTTTCTGAGACATAAGAGAAACAAGCCTATTCAAAAGAAACCCACCTACTAAAAAGAGAAGACTATTTTCTTCAATCATAAGGACTTCAAAGGCAGTTGCACACATGTATTATGATCATTTTGATGTCCACGTATCTTTAATGGCCATAATATATATAATTTATTTTTCCTTAATCCATATAAAAATATAGCATCTCCAGTAATGTCCCAAAATCATATAAATACATGATCAAAGAGGTATTTTTAGAACAAGACATCAAACAAGATAGGATATATGCCATGCACTGGACTTTCTGCAAAAAATAAGATACTTCAAAGTTTCACTCTTTTTCTCTTATCTTTTATTTTCCTTCTTACTCTTCCTTTTCCTACTACCCTTTTCCTAAAAATTGGTAAAACCCTCATGGATACTGCAAGCAAGATTCGGTTATCATTATGGATAAATTCGGATCAAAATTCTTTTCAACTACAGTGAGAATGGATTGGTACAAAAATCATAAACTAGAAATTACACGAGGAGCATACTACTAGAGAAACTTCCTTAAACATGGAAAACTAGGATTTTGGGGCCAACTAACAACTTGTAGAGATGGAGATAATCATGAGGATGATCCAAGAAGCATTAGAGTAGGCTACCTGAATAGCCCCGAGAGTATAGATACTAAAAGGCTCTTTAAACTATGCCATATAATGATAGCCCTTAAGCGCTAGAGCACTTATCTCCACACCCGCTATGGAGAAAAATTATTAATCAATGGAGAAGAGAACTACACTCCCCCGAAAGAGCAAGTCAAAAAGCAGAGAACATAACTGATGTATACATTTGGTCAGAAGATTGTACAAGTCAGACTTCTAACAAAGTTCAAAATACCACATTTTGAATCAAATAAAGGAAGAACACATCCAATAGATCATGTGGGTCACTTGAAGTCGGTCACATCACTGCATGACATTAGAAAGTTCTGCTTGTTTTTTATCATTTTCTTTTTACCATTTCAAATAATCATATCTTTGATAGTTATCACACCCACTACTATGTTATGTTCATTACCAAATTCATTAAAATGTATAAGGACTGTTGAAAAACTTACAAGCACTTCTAAAGATGAGAAAATAGTTGTCGGCCCATTGAGAACTTCATTATGAAATTACAAAGAAAAATGTTTTAAGTAAAAATACTTAGAAGCTTCAGTCGATGCTTGAAGAACCATTTAAATATGTCATTGGCCTCCGACAACAAAAGACGGCGGTAAAGTTAATAAAACATACCAATACCCACATCAATGTTGAAAATTACAACGATATAACCAAATATTCTACCATTAATGCTCGAGAGACACTCCAGTATGGCAGTACATCCAACAAGACCGAAGCATCAATGGAAACTGCTCTAGAACCCCAAGGACTGAGAAAAACAACAAATCCACAATTACCGATATTTCTAGCCAACGATTCATCAATCTGAGATGACACAATAGTTCACTAGCTCACCATGAGTCCGTGACGATGAAAAGCAACCCATTGCCCAAGATAATCATGACTAGAGGGCACCTACACATTACTACCAGTGATCAACAACAGTGTTGCAATTATCAATGATTGACCATGAGTAGGTCGTTATAAAATAAAAACTTCTTCAAGCACTCAAAATTCATAAGAGCAAAGGTACGTCTACAAGGCACAACAAAATAATGTGCATCCACATGGACCACAGACAAACATAAGGAATTGCTAACATTTTAGAAATTTGGTGGAAATTTTGATTAAAGCAAAAAAATTAAGAAATTTCTTATGACCAACTCTAGAAGAGGATAAAAGAAAGCTTTTATACAAGGAAAAAGAAACAAACCAATACTCACTCAAGCAATCAACATCAGTGGTATGATGCCAATCATTGTCAAAGGAGGCATGCTAGACTCAAAAAACTCTAATCAGTAGAGAATGAATTTGGCGACTCCTTCCAGAAAACCTCACACTAAGGACGCATCCATAACTTTCACTGAAGCAGATAAGCTAGCAAATGAAGATCCCTTCAACGATGCAGCGGTAATCACAGACTTGATTGTCAACTATCAAATAAGAAGTATCAGCTAATATTAAGAGCTTCATAAGCACTATTTTCAAAAGAGTTGAAAACCAATCTGGTAATTGTCCTTATGACTACAATTAAAGGTCAACTCTTTGAATTTTGGAAGGAAAGAAATGGAACAAAAGGCCTATTCACTCTACTCACCATATGGAGAGAAGGAGAACATCAATGTACTGTGATAGACAACTTCACCATAGTTGATAAACTTGACAACGACAGTGTCATGTTTGGGTAGCCAGGCAATAGTCTCCACTTAAATGGTTGTCAAGTTCCAAGTAGAGGGACAAGAAAACCAAAAGAAGAGAGACTTAATGCAATCAAAACCCTATTATCACAAAGCTCTAGAAAGTGTATAAGAAGTAATGCAAGTAGAAGTTAACAAGGCTGCAGGATTAGAAACCTTAGAATCCATAAAATTTCAAGTCATCAAAAGATTCAGTGCGCACTATCTGAATTAGCATCCCTTCTAGCCCCAAGAATCAATAACAATTGGTTCAAACTTTTTCAAATGGCATCAAGTTGATTGTTTGGATAGTTACCAAGAATCAAGGAATATATGTGGATGTTGACATCCATATGCAAAATGTAAAAAAGTTTAGGCCCGTCAAAAAGAATATCAAGAAGACAGGCGTAGCCATAGCTAAGACCATTAGGCAAGAGGCCTAAAAGCTCCTTGAGGGAAATTTCATAAATGATGTACAATACCGTAACCAGATCTCCTATATGGTAATGGTGCAAAAGGTGAATAGCAATCACAAAATGTATATGCACATTACTAATGTGAACTTAACATAAATAAAAGATAAGAAACTCATTCCCTAGAATTGATGCATTAGTCGAATCAGCAGTTGACTTCCCAATGATGGGCTTTCTATATGCCTTCTCGGCCTAAAGGTTGCCACAAATTAAAGATGCATCCACTGTTTGAGGGAAGATTGTCTTTGTAAGAGACAGACTACTGCCACTTCCTAGAAAATCATGAAACAAAATTTCAAAGAGCAAAAGGGAAAAAAAGTGAAAGTATAGGTAGATGATTTGTTGATTAACGATGATACTCCTGAACAACATAAATTGGAAATGAAGGAGGCTTTGCCACACTCAAGAAAGATAGCATGCATCCCAATCCCTTAAAAGTGTACCTTTGGGGCCAGATCAAATAAATTCTTAGATTTTTCCTCAACTTCAAAGGTATAGAAGTAAACCCAAATAAAATAACACAATTCCAAAGATGTATTTCCAAAAATCAAGCAAGGATGTGTGGCCACTAATAGGAAAATTGATTGGACTAGGCCTCTTAATCTCAAAATCATAATATAAATGTGGAACATTCCTCAAAATCATGAGGATAGCAAAACATTTCACGTGGAACAAGGAGTTTGAAGCCACCTTCCAACAGTTAAAGTCAATCATATCTTCACCCTTATTGTTACAAAGTCCAAAACCTAATGAAAATCTACTCGTCTATCTTAACGTAGAGGAGAATGCTAAAGTTTTATGTTGGTTCCGGAGGAAGCTAAATAATCACTATTGTTAACTATGGGAACAAGACCCTCCAAGGAGACGAGTCAAAGAATCTAATTTTATAAAAAACTAGCATGGGAACTCATAATCACAACTAGAGGACGCTAACCTTCCCGGCAAACTTAATCCAAGTATTCATGAACCGCCTGCTAAAAGAATGGATTCACCGAACCTAGTTATTTTGATAGGTTGCTAAAGTTGGTTGTACGGTTGAGTGAATTCCAGATTACTTAAACAAAGATAGTCATCAAGGTTTAGATCATCACCAACTTCCTGGTCAAATTTTACTTCCCAAATTTTAATAAAGAAACAACAAGCGGTGAAGATTAATTATGGAAGTTGCACGTTCATGGAGCCTCTGGAGAGCAAACTTTCAAAGATGAACAAGTCATGCACAAGTTCCACTAATCTGACGTCATTTGTAGATAGTCTCCCACCAAAGAACACCAAAGAGAGCATATTATAATTTTCAAACAAGAGGATTAGAGAATTATGCCGAACTCAAGGGATTTGCCTCGTTTAAAAAAAACAAGCTAAAAAGAAAGTGGATTAAAATGGTGTCATCCATTCTATGGGCATTGAGAAAAATTTCATCCTGTACAATGACCAAACCCTCTTCAACCCACTACGAAAAAGCTCTACTCTTAACTAAATACAACTTGCACTGCCAGCGAATTATAGCTACCTCAAAAGTTGGAGAAAATCTATTGTGAAAATGGAAAGATAAAAATAAAAAGGCATAAAAATAGCTTTAGATTTTCTAGAGAAGATTCAAGTTTAAGTAGCAATGAGAGAAAAAGTCAAGAGAAAGTTAGCAAAATATTACAACTCAAGTGTAAAGGAGATATTGTCACCCTAGAGATTTAGAGATTTAATCATGGTTATGCCATAAAAGATTGTGTTATGCTAGCAGGCACAACTTTAAAAAAATCATTCATCTAAACTTGAAAAGTACCGATGTTGAACTAAGCTTGCAATCATATCTACGTTGTGCGTTAATTAGGAAAACAAGTCAAAGCATTTTTTTTTTATTTTAAAAGCATCTCTGGAACTTTCAAAAGAATCTTTATCACCAATTAGAATACTACATATGGATTTGTTTAGGGCTGAATTAGTATTGTATGTCTAGTAGGAAAATCATATAAGTTTGTTAAAAGTGAGAAATAAAATTTATTTGATTACAATTTCTAACACAAAACAGTGATCATTTGACAAATTTCATATATTAGCTATTTGGAGTTGAGGAAAAATAGAATATTTGATTTTTACATTTCTTATTGTAACCATGAAAGAAAATATTTGAAATAAGAACACGGAGACATTGTGGAAAGAGTTAGGAATAGCACATAATTTTTCTCCAAGCCCAACAAGGATGGAACAAGTATAAGCTTGAGTTATTTCAAATAAATATAAGCTTTTGGGCAAAAGATCTGGATCTATTAGAGACAAATTTAGCTTTTTTGTAAATCTGATTGTACAGTTGTTACAAAAAAATTTTTTTTTTTTAAAGCTATTGTGAGTATTCTAAATCATACTAGTAAATATGATTGTAAAAGTAGCTTTCTCCCACAACTTTTTGAAAATTAAAACTTTGTTTCTTTGTTTTGCTTATAACTTTTAAATTTATGTGTTAATTCCATGTACGCCCTTCTTTTAGATATGTCAAAAGAGAGAGCGAGTAGTTTGTTTAAAGTTATTGTAGCAAAAACAAGTTTGTACCCCCTTCTATATTTTTTTTTTGTTGTTTAATTTTTTTTCTTTATATTCTTCATAATCGTGCAGAAGTGTTGTAGTAGCTTGCTCTTAAATTATGAATGAAAGTTTGGGTTACATGTGTTTGCTACATTTTACAATTATTTTAATCATAATTTAAGCACTTTATTTAAATTTACACACAACTTAATTTTATTGCATATAAAAAATAAAATTGTCAAAAGTGCACAAATTCAAGTGAGCTAAATAAATCCTAACATTAATATATAAAACTAAAATATATGTATCATCAACAAAAACGAAGAGATTGTTAACCCCATGAGCTTAAATTGTCACTTAACTACTTTAATGTTCACAAATAATTAATTTAAGCTACAAATGGTAAATATATAATGTGTTTGCTAACATTTCAAGTACAAATAAGAAGATTGAATGCAAGTCTTACTTTTATGGACACTCAAAAGAGCATAAAGAACTAATAAGAACTTATGGTTCGATATTACCAAGCTAACTTATTATTAATGCAACTCAAGTCAGCAAAAAAAAAAAAGGATTAAAAAAAAGGAAAAATAAAACCTACATATTGAAACCTGGAATTCTTTAAGGCAAGAAATTAATCATCTAAAATGAATTTTACTTTCTTATTTCAGGTTAAATGAAAATATGACACTAAATAGAGCACAAAGGAGAAAAAGGATTCATGTAGTTGACCCCAATTAGTGGGACAAAGATTTGTTGTTGTACACATATCTGTCAAATATAAGAGTTGCTTTGAAGATTAACAGAAATGTTAATAATAAATAAGGTGAAATCAATAAAAATTGACCACAATTGTCTAAACTAATTGTAATGTAAAAACGTGAATCAATTAAAAAAGTAGACGACATGCATGTAAATGCAAATAAATGACATCAATTAAAAAAACAAAAATGCCTTATTTTAGATTTCAACAAAGACTTCTAAAAAGATAAAGAACTATAAATAATAGATTTCAAAAATTGCTGTAAGGGTGCTGTTAAACAATGAGTGTTTGAATTTACACACAAAAAAAAGCTTGTTGCTGAAACGATAATAATGATATAATCAAATTTTCAGGTAAGCAATAGGAAAGTGAAGCAACTGTAAACAAAAATAAATAAATATATATATAACAATTATTCTGCATTACAAAAGTTTTAAATCCAAAACAGTGGACGACCAATAAAAGGATTAAATTTCAATACAAATCATCTCTTTGTCAATAAGAATACCTGCATAATCTGAGGATACCACTCACGCAGGTTACGAAATACAGAATCAATATCCCCATTTCTAATGAACTGCAATTTAAGGAAACTGTTCAGCAAATCTGAAGATGATTCACTTTAGAAAAAGCACAAATGAAAAGGATAGAGGAAAGCATATCATAGCACTATGTATACAAATAAGAAAACTAGTAAAACGGCATGAAATAAATAGATGTGACTTGCAAAAGCAGCAAGGAAAGAACAATAAAAGAAAACTGCATGAATAAGCAATAGTTTTAAGTTCAGTATAATGTTTCTAAAACAAGCCCACTTACTATAGTCCTCACTTACCTGCCGCAAAATCTTTCTGTTGCTTAATGCATACGCATCTCCTTGTTCCTGGAAGCCATTTTCTTGTGGAGAAGGTATGTGTGGAGACATGATTCCACTCTCAACATCAAATGAATTTACTGTTTCTTGGTATCCGTAGTGCAGCAAATAGGAACGAACAATCCTAAAAATGAGGATATGTGAATTCGTTAGCCTAGCTAAATGGGTTATGGTTATACTTTTAACAATTGCAAAGTTAATGGAAAAAAACAAAATTAAAAGTCGGCATACTTGACGATAACAAAATCTTTTAAGATAAATGATTTATGCCAAAAAAAAATTGATAAATGGATTTTACATTTCCTGAAGTGAGGCTCGACCATACAGCAATTCTGAATACGGATATGATAAGATGGTTTATGTTTTAGTCAACTAGAAGTATAGAAGCTTGCTAATCTTTCTCAAAACAAGTGAACTTACTTTTTAGCATATTATGAGCACAGAAATCACCATTTTCATTCAATCAAAACAATACTTATTGTTGTAGAAGCAATCAGCCAGGGTTCTACACTAACAGAAGAAAGCAAGCCAACATTATGGAAACCTCCTAATGAATTCAATAAATAGCCACAGAAACTAATATGCTAAAATTCAACCTGGTTTAGCAAAATAAAAATGAAAAAAAGAAAACCATGGGAGAGAGATTCTTCAGACATTACCAATGGCTAACATTAGGCGATAAGGTTGATTTGTCAATTAACTCTTCTTGTTTTAGTCTCTCCTTCAACATAAACACCTACTCAAGGAAAAATTTAAAAAAAGTATAGGAACATAAACACAATCAGATGAAGGATAAAGGCAAGATAACAAATTGCAAGTAATAAAACAAGAGTCAGCAATATACGCATATTCTCATTATTAATGCAATAAACTGAAATAAAATTAAGCCCCTGAATCATAACATTAAACAAGTATTCTGTGTAGCTTAATAGGTTGTCAAGAGCTTACACAAACATATACCCACATACAAAAACCTGAAAACATGTTTGGCTTGGCTGATTAAGTAGATAAATTAGTTCAGATCAGTGCGTTGGCCACATAAAATTTCAGGGCTTACAGCCCTTCCCACCTGCCTTTTCACCCCTCAACCTCATCGGTGCAGCTCTTATACCCCTCAATGTAATGGTGTCACAGCTCATTATTATTGATATGATCCTTCACACATGTCTACACAAGCACTCGTCCTTGTTAATGCAAATAATGGCCCTCATACACAAACTGTCCATTTTCCAGTCCTCCATTGTTATCAAGCATTCCTACATAATCATACTACAATCATCTCTCTCCTCTACCATCACCAGATATGCAAAAGCCTTTTATGATCTGATATGCCTCCACCCCCACCATCCAACTGGACAGCTCATCCCCATCAACCACTATCTATGATGCAAATTTGACAATTCAATGATCCCTCCCTCCCTCTCAATCCAGCAAATCACTATCGTAACAAATCAATATCCTAGTTTTGACAGTCAAAGACTAATAAAAGCAGAATTCAAAGTCAAATGATATGTAGAATCCTAAGTTCAGGTTGGACTTAGAAATAACCACTTACTCAACTCGACACTTTAAAAGAGAATAACTTCTTGCTCAAGTTTATCACCCTAAAAGTTCTATGACGGAATGAGCTACTACAAGGAAAAAATAAAATGAGTCTTCCTTATAATTATTTAAAGTGAACTTGGAGTGAAGTTTTAGTTATCAAGATTAATTCTCAAGAGAAGAATAAAACCATCTTCAGCCTTATCAACAATTGGTGAACAACTTTGCGTATAATCAACTTCCATTAGTTCCTGCTAAAAGTTGCATGCAAAGTTCTATGCATTAACCTTTACCAATGCCTTCTTTCAAATGTTTAGGCACTTATCTGATCTACCCATTATATGGATGCAATTTTACCCACCCTTGTTCCTATCCAAATATAATCATGCTAATTCTTATTAGGATATGTCGTCATTAAGCTAAGACTATATTTAAAGTAAAGAGTAAACGAAGGCTAATTTGGAATTTTGGCTAACAAACCGAGAGCAATGAAAAAGCAAGAAATAAGATTTTTTTACCAGGTAGGGAGGGTCGGGGGGTGTGCAGTTAATTGAAAATATTTTGCTAACTTATTGTCCAAGAAAAAAAAAGACGGTAGAAAAGTGCATATAGAAAAATTAACATGTTAAACATGTACCCAAAAAACATATTTACATTTACAACCAAGAAAAGGTCCCATAATGTACCTCAATGTCAAAACGGAACGGTTGCCTCCCAAAATTGACTGTCACCCTGATGCATCAATAACAACAAATTTGCATTAGGAGGGCAGCATATATTTAAGAGTATTGAGGCAAGTCTATATGTTCCACAAATGAATTTCAATTGAACACTTCTACTCCCATGACCTGTACAATTCCCATTCAAGCGATTGATGCTTACTTGAACTAAATATATTTTGTTACCCTGCTGAATTTTACTGATAAATCAAAACTTTCCAGATCGAACTTGTTCATTTTTTTACAAAAGGTTAAATTAAAGAATCATAAATAACAAACGCCAACAATGGACAAACATAAAAACCAAAATGGTTCAAACATGTCTAATTTTTTTCCATCAATTTTAAATCAAAGATACTTTTCAGACAAAAAACGCATTTCATAGTCAAAACCTACCATAAGTATTTCATTTTCTCCCATCATACTTAAAAAGAAAACAACAAGTTAAGAGTACTCAGTGAGCCTATTAGATGTACGGGAATAATGTCTCCAAGGCATCATTATGGGAGCAGGAGCGCCTAGTACCCATATGGGCACCAGGCCACCCCCAGGTGCGCTGGAATGTCTTGATTGTGATGTACATAAATGCCCCAAAAATATTAAAATTGAACGCTCACAGTCCATGAAACAAAAAATATGGCTTACAGGAACTCAAGAAAATCGACGAAAGGGTGGAACAACTGAAGATAAAAGGAAGACACTGGCGTAAGGGAAAAGGAAGTCGTTGGACTTCACCTCTGGCTCTCGATGCACAAGACTGAACTTTGACGTTCGAAGGTTCGGAATAAAAAACTTGAACACTCGCACTCACAAGTCATGATGGTTGTCAAAGAAAGTGGAAAATAGAAAGCTCTCGGAATGACGTCCAACCCTAAATCCGCGATATAGCTGTTGTGTGAAGGTTAGAGGTATTTATGCCTAATTTTAATTTGAGTGACGCCTCAACTGCCTCGCGGTAACCACTGCCTCAAGGCTTGCGCCTCATTATAGGAAGGATCCGTTTTAATATTGTCACTAAAGCAATGCCTTGAATCATAGCGCCCCTCAAGGCAGATGCCTCAAGTGCTTTTTTAAACATTGGATTTTGTGATGACAATTGGTTTTTTCATTCTATATTTTCATTAGTTGCGTATAATCATAATCTAATAAAAACATTATTAATCACTGGTAACAGTGTAGTTTCCTTGTAAAATTCACCATAAAGTTCCAATGGAATCAGAAAACTTCAGAAGAAAATAATTCATGAGAAACACATTTAAAGATATTGGTTTAATTTATGAGAGCAAATACGTGTAACATAGCCAAACTTATACACATAAAATGCAAAGCCATTAATAGTTTCAGCATAAATATATTTGATATAGCTCCAAAGACAAGAAAAGCTTGAATAAACTCCGAAACCACCTTAGGTCATTTTTCAGCCACAACTAATGTGCTTCTCGATCAAATTTGTTGATTTTAGTGTCGTTGGAAAGCTAAGAAAATTTCCTGCACCTTACATGTTTTCCATGTCAATTCCCATTATATAAACTATTATTTTTAAAAACATATGTAAAATTTTAAACTATTCCACATTAGCTCATTGCCCCCGCTATTTCAACCATTACTTTCTTTTTTCTTGACAAAAATGGGTGATATTGGTATCGTTAGAAAGCTAACAAAATTTTCTACGACTTATGTTATTCATTTTACCCAATTCAAACAGCATACTACAATTTTTAAAAACAAATGAAAAATTTTAAATTATCCCAAAACAATTCTCGCTATTTCAACCATAACTACCTTATTTCTCGACAAAATTAAGTGCTTTAGTTTCGTTGGAAAGCTAACAAAATTTCTTATCACTTCCACGCTATTTATTTCATACGATTAATAATATGTATGCTATAGTTTTTAAATGCATATGCAAATATGTAAACAAATCAAAAACAATCCATCATCTCAAACTATTTCAGCCATAGCTGCCTCATTGCTCGAGGAAATTAGGTGATTTTGGTGTCGTTAGAAAGCTAACAAAATTTCCTATGAGCTCTATGTTATCAGTTTTACCCAATTCCTACTACATATGCTAAATTTTTTAAAAACATATACTTCTCATACACAGCAAAAAATTTTCATTAAAAAAAATACTAAGTTATAAATTCCCAAACTCATACATTTGCTCATATTATCAAGTACACAATACTAAGTTATAAATCAAAAACAATCCATCATCTCAAAAACTCATACATTTGCTCATATTATCAAGTACACAACAAAAATCGATTGAGTAGCTTTTCAATACATAAGCAGATTTGGCTGTTGCTATCTCACATATGGCAATTGTATAAGATATACCACATTAACTAGTTCTTTGAAATCACGATATGCCTCAGCTTATTTGGTGCCACTTGAGGGATGTGTGCTTCATATTTCTCATAAACTATCAGAACAACTCACCAATAACAAGGCGGGAAAAACAAGTGGACGATAAATCAAATTTTTCTATTTCAATTTTCCATCACTATTATGACGTAATGATACAAAGTAAATGAAAGAATCGGTATAGAAAATAAATTAAATTAGAGCGGTTATAAATTTATACTATTTCTGGTTGTTCACGTCTTCTATAAATATTTCTTCTTTAATTACTCATCCTATGATCAAATGATTAAAATCTAAAATGATAATTTAAAATAACTATGAGTTATAAAGTAGGTGAATACGCAAACTATCAAAGTATAATAATATGACGAATAATAAAACAATATACATGCTAGTTGATCAAAGATAAATCAATCTAGAATAAGTAATAATTTACAAATTAAATATGAAAATTCAAATAGTTTCATAACAATTATTATACTATACTATATTATTTTCTTATTTATAATATTTTATTTATACAAAAATCACAGAAACGTCAAATATTATATCATTCAAGGTATTAATATCCAATCACAGAAACAACGTCAAATATTATATCATTCAAGGTATTAATATCAAAAATATTTTTCATTTATGTGCATGCATACCTTAAGGTTTCTCTGCTAGTATCATAAAAGAATAAACTTTATCATATACAATATGCACATACAAGCATACAATAACAATCATTATCTAATATGATCACTTTATTTTCATGTGTATAACAATCAGTAGTTGTATAACAATCGATATTTGTATAATATTCAATATCTATGTCATTTAAATAATGCTAAGTCCACATGTTAATCCTACAATATAAACAAAATTTTAACAAAATCATAAATCATGAGTATGTAATGATATCAATATAACTAGTAACAATTAATGCAATTGATCTATAAAAAATAAAAAACATTATCATAATATAAGAACACGACTACTCACATCATTTTCAAAAGATTTTGCTTGCTTTCACGCATTGAATCTCCTCTGCACCAGATACATATAATTATGCGTAAAATGTTCATGTCAATTTAGTACAAGTAAATTTTACCATTTAAATGTAATTTTTCCTTATTTTACATATAATGCATTATATATAAATTGTCAATTTTATTTTAAATCATTTAATCTATTCTTTTAAATAATATTATTATTTATTAAGTATTGAGTTGATATTAAAAAATTTATCACACAATATTTAATTATACTTTAATTAATTATAATTCTAATTCTAATTTTGTTATTTTAACTAAGAGTTTCAATTTTTAAGTTTGCTCATTGAAATTAATATTAATTAAATAACATTAATTTTAGCAGAATACAAATTAATACTTTTTATAATAAAAGGCTAACCTTTCTCTTCTTTTGCACAATCACCAAATCCAAATTTTATTTGACCCTTAATTCAACTATTTGTCAAATTAAATCTACTAATATTAATTCAAAGAATCTGAATAACATTTAACTAATTATATGAAGCAAACATAAAAAAATGATCATATTAGTTCCTAAAGTTTAAAAAATATAACCCTTACCCTTCCTTCCACTTACTAGTTCGGCCTCTACCTAAATGGAATGTCGTCCTGTACAAAGCTCACTCCTCCCTCCTAGTCGATCCCGCACAAAAATGCACAAAACAATGCTCGCAGACTTTGACTTCGGTTTGGTCTTCCTGCAAGCAAAGGTTCGCTTCTCCTCCCTTCTTCTTTCATGTGTCACAGTCTATTTTGCAGTCGTTCGACTAGAGTTTTATTGTCTAGTATCTTCCTCTTCTACACGCAATATATCACTCACATGAATTCGTCCTTCCCTCATCCTACGAACGACACTCCTCTTCTCCTCCATGCACAAAGTGTTGTCTTCCTTTCCACAAGCCATGCAGCACTTCCTGAGTTCAAAATAACTCTCGACACTATCTACCTCTCCTTCGTTCTCATTTACTTTGCACCTGAACCAATCAAGCCTCTCGCATGCAATTTCTGCTAGCCAATTCCTTTGCTCAAATGCGGCATTGTCACTTCCTCTATTTCCCATCTTGCTCTCTTGTTCTCTTGCTGTTTTGCTTCTTTCAATGCCAAAATCGTTATGATTCGAAACAAGGGTTACGTTTCTCTGTACTCCTTATAAAGACAAAATGCTCACATCCCTTCCCTTCCCTATTTGTAATGCTTGAGTAAAAAAACGAGTATTATAGCCTTGGGGTTATTTTCCTCTCTCTAGCATGGTACCATGGACCACTACTTGTTGCCATCTATTCTCCGTCAAATAGGAAAGAGAATGAGAAAACTAGCTTGCTGCCTTACCATACATGCAATTAGGGTCCACCTCCCTCGCTCTCAGCTTGATGTATGTGCCTATCATTTCTGCGAAAATATGCATTTACAATAAAATATCAAAAGAAAGTACAAAGAAGTAAAACAATAAAACTATGTCCCAAAGACACCAAACAAGATGGCAATTGTCCTCTTGCAAAAAAAAAAGTAAAAATGGGATCATCAACATTTACAACTTTCGAAACAAAATCCATATCTATAGCCATTCAAGCGCAAGAATGAGCAACTTTTATCAGCACCGCTTATCCATGCTCCATCGGAGATAGTCTAT